TTCTGTACATGTGTTCTCCATTATGACGTCTCTCTGGAGGGGGTTCAATCTCCGGGGTGATAAAATTTAAAGAACAATTTGCTGTGGTACTTGTGACTTTTCTTTAAGAAGCGTCGGTTCCTTAGGTAAACTATCTTCTTGGATGCATCCAGGTACACCCATGTAGTACCATCCAAGCAAACCAAGCATCCCATCTTCCCTTTGATTTGTCTAGACAAAGCAAACAGCACGGGGTAATCATTGGTAGTAACAAATATTATTGCTCTACATATGAAGTCCTCCTTTCAGAACGCATCATACATCGGCTCCCCATGCCTCCATAGCCTCTCCATTTCTTGCATCAAAGGCTCGAGGAACACGTCTATATCAATGCCTGGTTGTTTAGGGTCAGAAATAAGAATAGTGAGGAGAAGGTACTTTCTCTTCTGACACAACCACGTTGGGATGTTGTACATGGTCAAGATCACTGGCCAAGTGCTGTGGTCGCTCATCCTCTCATTGAAGGGATTCATTCCATCGGTGCTCAAGCCAAAATGTACATTCCTTGGGTCATCGCTGAATTCTTTGTGCTTCTCATCGAACCTTTGCCACTGACTACAATCAGTCGGGTGTGCAATCTTATCATCATCCACCTTGCGCTCATCATCCCACCATGTCATGAGTACGGCTTCTTTAGGGTTTAGGAAGATACGTCTCAAGCGGTCGGTCACTGGCAGGTACCACATTACCAAGGCAGGAATTCTTCTCTGCTTTGTATCGTTGCCTAATGGAGTGTCCTCTGGTGGCTGAAATTCTTGTACCACCTTTTTTGTACCCTTGTTATTCCTCTTTTTCCCCGTGGAGGCTTCGTCCCCACCGTAAAGGTCATTGTTCTTGTACCAGCTGGCCCCACACCGGGGACATTTATCCAGTGACTTGAACGTTTCGCCACAAAAAAGTATACAGTGGTTGGGGCATGCATGGATTTTTTTCAACCCCCATTGTCAATGGACTTATGACCTTCTTCGCTTGGTATGTGTTGGCGGGAACTGAGTTTGGTTGTGGCAGCACCCATGACAGGAGATGCAATAGATCATTGAAACTACAGTCTGACCAGCCGTACTTAGCCTTCAGGATGAGTAGCTCAAGTACAAAACGTAGCAATGTCCAATGTGTCGGACAACCCTTTTCAACACCATACATAGTCTCCTTCGATGCTTTTATCACCCTTTCCAAATTTTCTAAACCTTTCGAGCTATTTAGTAAAATCTCTGGTCCAAGGGCTCGAATCATGTCCTCCAAATCATCTTCATCCCCGACACGTGCTCCACCATCATTATTGGCACCACCTTCGTCGTTACCATCCCAACCACCAGCATCACCACCTTGTTCATTGTCAAACTCCGAATCCATTCGTGCATCAAGCTCTGCTAAATATTGGGACAGGGCTTCTAGGGTTTTGTCGTTGTATTCCTCCTCATCCTCGTCGTTAACAATAACCGTTTCACCATGATGAATCCACACTGTGTAGTCCTCAACAAATCCTCACATAATCAAATGTGATATGATGATAGTCACATCTGTCAATGCCATACGGTTATTGCAATCTTTACATGGACAAATAATTGTATCCTTATTCTCTGTCAATATCGTTGCATGCTTCTTTGTGGCTTCAATAAATTTATCCATCTCTTCACGAAAACCTGCCTTGAACCTTAACGAACCATACATCCAAGAGTTCTTATACTCCATCTTTTACAACAACAACAAAACAAACATTAAAGGACTACTTATTCAGATATATATAAAAATGAATCAAATTAATAATTACTTGAGAATAATTGTAAATACTTCAAATATATGAATATAAATCAAATATAATTACATGAAGCATACAAACACACCATGGTAGAAGAAAAAATATTAATGACCCATTTATCCATAAATAATTTAAATACATATTTGTTGATTACAATAAACAATTTCAAAGACAACAATTAGCAACGATTATATTTTACCTAATATCTTTCATGCAAACTGTAGTCCAATTTCATCAAACACAAATTTACAAAACCGAAATTAATAAAAAAACCAAACCCTAGATCTAGATCTACATGCACATGAAACATCCATAAAACCAACTAATTGATCACTAAAATCAAGAAACATAGACCAAATAAGGGTATGATCTTGTTCCCCTCCCTAATTTACGCTAGTACATTCAAAACTTGGGTCTAATTTGTTTCATAAGTAGCTCAAGCACCATAGAAGAGAGAGAAAAGCAAAACTCTAATTACTCACTAACCAACCATTAAAACTTAAAAAAAGTGTGGAATAGCATTTTCTTACCGTCTACAACCTCTCCACCAAAGGATTTAAGACCAAAACCTTTCCCCCTTAGTAGAACAATTTTTGGAAGATGCCCAAGGCCTCTCCACGTTTCTTTCACGGGCTGGAGCGAGTGACCCGAGGAGAAAGAAGGTGCTGCAGTTTGCTTTATATGTGGGTCATTTGTAGGGGCGACTGGTGATTGAGCCGCCCCTACAAATCGGAGGTATTTATACGCGGGCATTTGTAGGGGCGGTTCAATCACCAGGCGCCCCTACAAATAGCAATACCAGGGGCGGCTGGTGAGTGAGCCGCCCCTACAAATCCGACTCATTTGTAGGGGCAGCTCGTATGACCAGCCGCCCCTGCTGTGTCATTTCTAGGGGCGGCTGGCCTCTGGGCTTCCGAGCACGCCACTGTAGGAGCGGTTTCATCACCAGCCACCCCTACAAAAAATTTGCCCCATTACTAAAAACTGTTTTTTTACGTAGTGGGTCCGGCCTGCGATCACTCCAATGGGATGGGATTGCATTGGGAAGAACCTAGCTAACTTTGCCATTTAGCTACGACACGTACAGATATAGTATATGAGTTGTTAAGAAAATATGTTTCATGATTGTTGAACATAACATATATATTTATGGCCATCCACGCATATGTACTTGATGTGCATGGTGGCACAATATGCATGTATGTTTATTTTAATGAAATTCTAATATATCAATATTAATACAAGTAGGTACGTAGTTCAACTAAGCACAAAAGACTGATAATACTGTTGAAGTGATCTCTATAAAAACTAAAATCTCAAAGCATAAGCCAAAGTTCATCATCTAGAATCTGAAGTTGATAAACAAATGTATCTCTAATGGGACCGTGTGAGGGACCATAATCTGTGATGAGAGAGACCAAGTTTCATGGTTCAGACATGAAGTAGAGTTCATGTAGATAGTAACAATGTAGCCGAAAGAGGTGAATAATTTAAAAAAAACAAAATAGGTCAATGACTATTACTGGCGATGATTATTAGGACCCTATCAACAGATTAAATGTTAGGTGTTTGATTATTGCGAGAATTTTTAGAAATTTGTTTCTCTAATGCATCTCATGATTAACATAAAGCTTTCTTTAATTTGGTGCCTCCATTTAGTAACAGTATGTTAGGTAGCGTTCTTATTACTCCATTTGTTCCAAATTATAAGACGTTTTGACTTTTTTAGATACATTGATTTTGCTATGCACTTATATATACACTATGTGTCTAGATATATGGTTAAAGCAATGTATCTAAATGTCAAAACGTCTTATTTCCTTTTTCCTTGTGAGTTACATTCAGTCAGGCAGGATTAGGTGGCAGTGATACATGTGTGTTATCTGGCAACAACAGAGAAATTGACTTTTTCTGTCGGTTATAAACCGATAGAAAAATAATATTTTAGTTTCTAGTAGTGACAATAGGTGAGCCAATATGTGGCAAGCTAGTCTGCATTATAGTCCCCCCTCCCTATTCTCTTTTATATATAAGGCACAACTTGATATGATACGGTCTCTTAAAATATATTTTGACCATCTATTTATTTTATTTTATATTTTTTTATACTTATAAACTTATGATGATTGGATAGTAGATATATTGATTTACAAATCTAACCATATTAAATTTGTGTTATAATAATAATAATAAAAATTGTTAGTCAAATTAGTAGTCAAAGATTTTAAGTTTGAATATTGTTATGGGTGCGTGTGCGCCCTACGAAAGAGAATGGAGGTAGTATTAATTAGTGGCCGGCACTTGACAATTCCGAAATGGAGTTTGCATTCTCAGCTGTGGTTCAGTCGTCACCTTCATACGCGACAACAAGGTTGGATGATGTGTTGTCGAAAAAAAAAGGTTGGATGATGTGGACCATAGTCCACGCATGGGGATTGGGCCATTCGGGGGAGGAGCTGAGACTGGTAAGAACGAACTGAACTGAGGCTGCTAACGAACGAAATGATGAGGGCGCCCGCAGAAAATGGCATACTGCTAGCTAGTAGTTTGTTTTACGCCCCCCGCCCCCCCACCCCCACCCCAAGCAAAAGTACGTACTATGCTGCTACTAAGCACGATCAGCAGCTTGCTTGCTCGTTCGTTCCTGGACGCCGACAAGTAGCACAACGAGATCCAAATATCCATGCTGATATGCATGTGCATGCATGCAACTTGGTCATCACGTAAGGTCACGGGCATGCATGACACTCCAACACACCACAAAATATGCTACTAGATTCTTTGGTTCCCGTGAATCCATGTGTGGGCATGAAATGAAATTAGAAATGTACAGTATAATGCATGTGCAGTGCCAGCTCGATCGATTCCTCGTGGATCTGATCGAGAGCTAGCTCTCATCGATGCTTCCTAGCATTTCACGTGTGGTGTGGTGTCATGGTGGGGCCCTCGTGTTCTAGTTGAAATGCTTGCTTGCCATACTTGCAGATGCAGTGTACTTGTCCCCTGCAGCCACTGCCTAGCTACCCTAGCCCCCTCATGTACTGTACGTATCGATCGATCTGTATATGTATATAGAGAGAAACTCTCTCTCTCTCTCGAAAATACGTATGCATGCATGTAACACGCACCACTGCACTGCACTCCACTCCACGGCCGGCCCAAAATAAGCTAGTGAGCACCAGCTCAGCATACAAGATATATAATGGCGGCGTCGAGAGGAGCGGCGGCGGCGGCTCTGGTGGTGCTGCTCGCCGTAGTCAACTGCTGCTTTGTGCTCTTAGCGTCGGCGGCGCACTACACCAACTGCCCTTCGCCGCCTCCACCGCCATGCCCTCCGGCCCCAAGCAGCGGCGGCGGCAGGGTGGGGTGCCCCCGGGACGCGCTGAAGCTGGGCGTGTGCGCCAGCGTGCTGGGCCTCATCAAGGCCAAGGTGGGGCTGCCGCCCACGGAGCCCTGCTGCCCGCTGCTGGACGGCCTCGTCGACCTGGAGGCCGCCGTCTGCCTCTGCACCGCCATCAAGGGCAACGTCCTGGGCATCCACCTCAACCTCCCCATCGACCTCGCCCTCGTCCTCAACCACTGCGGCAAGAGATCATGACTTGAGATAGAATATGAGGAGAAGAGAGAGGAAACAGATTACTGTCATTATGTAGCCTATCGGAAAAGAAAAGGAAGTTAATACACTCATAAGCTTCTTACCAGAGTACAGCAAAAACACACTGGAAAAAAAAGGAAAAGTACACATGCAAACACTTTCATCATAGAAGGCTTCAAAGACCACAAAAAAGAAGCTAATGTACTCAATCACTGTAATGATCTTGGAGAAGAGAGAGGAAACCAAAGGTACAGAGGCGGCAGCGCGTTCACGAGAGATGGTAGTTGCGTGAGGGGCTCCACCTCTGGGCGCTGTGACGGCGCTAGGGTTTGCGCCTCTGCCATGGCCATCGCAGCTGCAATCCTTCTCTCTTTGATGGTGTGAATGATGGAGGTCGGGTGAGATCTGGTGGCTGCCATGGAGGATGGTGGTGAGGGCGGATTACTGGCGGAGGATGGCCGGGGGCATCCGTCCTCGATTGCTCAACTTTTTTTATCACAGTTGTTTATTGCTCAACTTTTTTAAATTCAAAAATCAATTTAAAAATTGATGTGCTCGCATGTTCACAAACCCATCAAAGAAAAGGGATAAAGGCGCACGCCTGGGGTCTGGCGGAGGACATAGGCGGAATTAACAAGCGGGGAGGAGAGGACGTGGGCATGCAAACAAAAGATGAGGGCCACGCCCACAGAACATGATAATGACATGTACCTACTTGCTCCCTATTAAAGACTCTAAATCGAATTCAATTCCATCAACGAAATCCTCGACGCGCATGCCACGACTTCCTCGCCGTCTTCCAAGCCGAAGTTAATACACTGCTTCTCAATCACCGTAATGCGTGGGAGGAGGTCCGTCTCGGGGACGTTTTATTTTTCCTCGGGTAAAAAAAGATGCCTGCACGAGGAATCGAACCGTGGGGGGCTGGGGCGGAGGGAGGGGCGCGCGGTGCAACAAGGTGCAAATCCAATGAACGATGACCGTTGGATTTGGTTGAACAAGGACAGGGAATGGATGAGAGATGATCTGATGCGTACGTTTTTACGACGGTGCATGTTTGGGTGCATGCAGTGGTGTGGACGTAGCTAAAATCATCTCCGTAGAGCAGGTAATTACTTGGTGTGTGTAGAATAATTTTAAACGGTGTTTTATAGGGGTAGAGAAGAGAAGAGATGCGTCGTCGTCACACCATCTCGTTGATGCCGCCAGAAAACCAAATCCTGAGGTAGCGAAGGCGTCATATATGGATGGGCCGTGATGCACCAGCACAATTTATATGGGACGGAACTACGTGTTAGTTAAATGGCCCAGTATATATCATTTTTCTTCTCGGGCCATGTATAGTGCATAGGCTATACAAGCCGCCGCATCATTGTTGAGCTGGCCCATTTTACATGTTTAGGCCCTATTTTTATGTCTCACACAAGTAACCTCGCTGCTGAAGTGCTTGGTGCTTGTCCCACTTGCATCCCTAGTGGAGATGCTCTAATATTTCCCTCATCATAAATAAAATTAAAGAAATAGAGGGAGTAATCATCCATCCAATAATAACCAAAGGTTGCTCCCATGCATGCATTCACTGTGCCACCGTCGACTACAAATAATAACAATTGATATGATTAGGGTGAAGAACTAGCTAGAGGGAGACGCGAGATATATAATCAGCATTATCCAGAAGTGCACTACTGGACGCAGGGTCTTTGCCGAGGGCCTGAAGCCCTCGGCAAAGGCTCTTCAGCCGTCGGCGAAGGATTTGCCGAGGGCAGCCCTCGGTGAAGAACCCTCGGGAAAAAAAACGTCGGCGAAGGACTCTTTGCCGAGGGCCTTTTATCGGGCACTCGGCATAGTATTTGCCGAGGGCTAACGGCGGCCCTCGGCAAAGTAAAGTAGTCGTTAGGTTCGCGGTTATTTTCCACGGTGTCTTTGCCGAGGGCTGACATACGTGCCCCTCGGCAAAGACTGTTTTTAATTTTTCCAGGATTTTTTCTTTGCCGAGGGCTATGGTGAAGGCCCTCGGCAAAGACCTGTTTTTAATTTTTCCTGGGATTTTCTTTGCCGAGGGCTATGGTGAAGGCCCTCGGCAAAGACCTGTTTTTAATTTTTCCTGGGATTTTCTTTGCCGAGGGCTATGATGAAGGCCCTCGGCAAAGACCTGTTTTTAATTTTTCCTGGGATTTTCTTTGCCGAGGGCTATGGTGAAGGCCCTCGGCAAAGACCAGTGAAAATTTTCAACATTCCACCTGTTTCTTGCTTTCCATGCAGACAAAAAAAATATATATATATATATTCAACAGCAGAAATATCCCACAAATATCACGATCATCACATATATCTCACAAATATCACATATATCTCACAGATATCACATAGATCATCACATGTATCATCACAAGTCCAAATTCAACAATTCCATAAGTCCACAATCTAACTCAAGTGTCAAGTCCACAAGTTCAAATCGATCGAGGTGGCCAACCTCTCCAACCGTCTCGGCCTCTGCGTCACCAACCTTCCCAACAGTTTGGCCTCTGCGCCGAGGGTGGTGTAACGCAAGCCTCCGTAATCGTGTGACCTTGAGGGGGTTATTAGAACCCGCCAATCGAGAGGCTGCACAAACAATTATATGCTTATGTGAGATTGCGTAATTATTCTAGGACTACAGGTTTTAGTATTTAGACGTAAACCTATCAAATTTTTTATAGCTAGTGTTGTGCTGGGTTTCTACGCCATACAAGCAAATCGGTAGCTAGTGTTCTCTCGGGTTTCTATGTCACACAAGCGAGAAGTGAACTTTAACGCCACAGTGAGTAGCCGCAAACGCGTGCGGCACTCGAGGCGGAGGAGCTGACATCTCGCACAGCACACCTGTCTTTCGCCCAAGAGCTTGCATGATTTGCATCATTTCGCAATCGACCTCCCTGGGCCTCCTCGAGCGGCCTGCTTCGGCCTCTCCGAAAGCAAAGTGAGGGCCGTGATCTCGCGCTGCCTTCTCGTTGTTACGGGCCCGCAATATTGCACTCCAATATTTCAGTAATGCAAAACTAACTCAAGTGTGAGAATATTAATTTACGACGAGTAAAACAAGAATTACCTCGAGCGCATCGCCCCGCCGCAGTTGTCGGAGTAGGCCGTGGAGCGTATGGGTGCGGCTGGAACTCGTGCTCGTGCTCTGAGCCGCTCGAGTGGGAGTGGGAATGGCAGGGTCGATGGCGGCATTCGCAATCCACGTCCGGCAGCAGCTTCTGCCGCCACCGAGCCTCATGATGGCCTCGGCATCAATGGGCTTTCGCATGCGGACGTCAGACCGCCGTGCTTGGCCGCCATTGCATCGCCGACGTGTACTCTCGGACTTTAGTGTACACGTTAGGGTCCGAGTACTCTGGACTTTAGTGTACACTTTAGTGTACTCACGGACTTTAGTGTACACGTCGCCGCCACCCCGGTGCGGTGGGACATAGCCCACGCCGTGAACATCGAGACATCCTCGTCCGGCAAGCGCATGACCTCCTGCGAGAAAGCGGGCGGTGGTGAGCAATCAGCATACGTTAAGCGTGAAACTAAATAGAAGAAAAATCACTTACATATGCCGATTTGAACCGGGAGACTCCTGCTTTGCCTTGATGGTGAGTGGCGGTTGGCCCGAGCATACGCAGATGCTGGCCGAGACTCGTGCTTCTCTATGTAGGCCGGCGTGAACCACCTAGCCACGATCATTGTCCAGGCGTCGGCATGCGCCGGCACCACAGTGGAATCACCTACATGTCAACGAGTGTTTGACATATATGAAGATGAAATTGAACATATTTAATTCAAAAACAAAACAATATCAATGTTATTCATGTACCTCAAGGTCATCGCTCCTGGTCGGCCGTCATCCGTCGAGCCTCCCTCTTGGTGGATTGTCATTCTACGAGCCGACGCGTAGTAGTCTATGTGGTTCTGGACGCGTGCCTCGTGAAACATGTCGGTGACATACTTCCTACAAAGTTGCATGCGCCACACGATCAATGAGGCCCTCGGTTCCTTCTTCTACTGAAAAACCTCTCGCATAAAAGATGATATATCCAATCGTTATTTGAAAAAATAGAATTCAATGTGAAGGATTGATTAATGTTGTGCGAGAGGAACTTACCCAAAACTCAAAGCAAGTATCCGCCCCGCTTGTTGCGATCTTGGTCGTCCTCGCCTGTATGCACATCTCCCACGTGTAGGTGGCTCTCGGGCCTCCGACGGCAACTCCACAATGCCGGGAACCACTTCCGACACAACACACCCAAGACGGTCATGGAGAGCGCAGAGGAGTACCGACAACACCTCCCAAGCCCTGCACAAGTAAGAAGAAAATTTATCGGTTTCTCTTTCGATTTCAAACATATCATATGAAGTAGTTGTGATATCATTTATATTTACTTACTTGGGCGGCACAGTATGAAGCACTAGACGGTTCGAGGAAGCGGAAGCGGAAGGGGGAGCGCCGCTGGGCCTCATTGGTAGACACCCGACGCCTCGCCTCCCTCGTCCTCGCGCCGCACCCACCTGCTCCTCCTCGACCTCCTCCTCCTCCTCCGTCGGTGGCACGGGCTCGGGGGCCGAGTCCGCCGCTTTCTCCTACCACCGCCTCCGTCGTGCCCGCCCCCTCCTCCCATGGCCTCTTGCCGTTGTCCCTCGTCCTCCCACGCCTCCGTGAATCGTCCCCCTGCCTCCCCTCCTCCAAGTGGCCTCCTCGCGAAGCCGAGGGTGTGTCACGTCGTGGCTGGCTACTCGCCATCTTTGATCAATCACCGCACGCACGAAGAATGAACAAGACTTGTTAGTACACATATTAGAGACTAAAAATAAATAAACAAAATATAAATGAAAATAAATAAACAAGACATAGTATTACATGTATTACGAATAATCTTCATGATTGGGATTATAGGTCTCGTCATCACTTTGCCAACATTATCCAAATAGGCAACACTATCCGAAGGTTCTATGTTATCGTCCTCGTCACTTGCTACAAG